AAAAAAGAAGAAGGAATGACAAGGCGGCGGTTGCATTTATAGCCAACACTGGAAGTAGCCCAAAGTGCCAATAAGCAACCCTGGGAAGCAATTCCGGTGCACTTGTCGAACTTCCAACTAGAGCAGGGATGCTTGTAGTGTGGAATTCGAACAGGGATGCATGAACGCAAGCCATGCAAGTAATTTCAAGCGAACGCAAGTCGTTATGAGCGCAAGTCATGGAAATACTTTAAGTGAGCGCAAGTCACTTAAACAAACGTAACGTAAAAATGTCCCATGAAAGCTGTTTAAAAAATCCCTAATAAAAATTTAAATTGTTGTCACCATTCCCTAACATTATAAAACAGTTAACTTTGAATCATAAACAATATAATTTGGGATCGCCAGAGCCTACTACGTATATTGCAAAAAAAGATAATGTGTCTGCTTGAGCTGCTTCAGGTTCTACTATTATATGCCCAATCAAACATTCCCAAGTTAAAGCGTGAGCAGAAGAGCATTTATGATCGCGTGATGCAAATGTTAAGATAATAAGAGCTGCAGAACTAAACCACTTAGGAAGAATTTTTTACATGGGCGATGATGACATCGACATCATCGGTAACAAAAACCTCGAACTTTGTTCGGCAACAAACAACATTATTTCTGTAGATTGGAGCTGCAAATCGCAATCTCTCAATTACGCTTCGTCGAAAAGCCATGATTGACTTCTTGTACAAGGAAGGTGGTTTATCTTTTGAGACGCTGCATGTAATCGGTCACAGTTTGGCTGCACACATCTCTGGGTTTGCCGGCAAAAATGTACGAAATGGACGTATTCAACAGATTACCGGCTTGGACCATGCATTGCCGTTGTTCAGTTATGATGAACCAGCTGAACGTTTGAATGAAGATGATGCCGAATATGTTGATTCTATTCAGACGTGTAGTGGTCTTTTCGGTTTCTTAAAGCCAATTGGCAAAGCTGCCTTTTATCCCAACGGTGGTAAGAGTCAACCCGGTTGTGGTTTGAATATTTCCGGTTCGTGTGCTCACGGACGCTCATGGTTATACTATGCTGAAGCTGTTTCCAATAATGATTTTCCATCGGTGAAGTGTGAAAACTATAAAAATTCTATCAAGAATTCATGTGGTAGCACTTATTCCTCAATTCGTATGGCTGCCCCTAGTAGCATTGTCAGTGCCTTTGGTCATTTCTATGTGCCCGTAAACAAGAAGACCCCATATGGTATGGGTCAGTAAGTCCATAAGAATTTGGTCTGATATTCAGAATTCACGAAGACAAACTGATATGACTAGTTAATATACTAGCTAATATAAATAAAACAAAATTGATTTCAATGTTATTGTGGCTTATTAACATTTTATTTTTAATATTTTTATTGAACTTTATACCACAATTGTTTATTAGGATAAATTGAAGAAGCAACAAAGTCTAAGCGGTAGAAGTTATAGCAGCTATTTCGGAGATCACCACATCTCCTCATCAGACTTGGTTTTTCTAGACTTCAGCGGGGATCGAACCTGCGAATTCGATGTTCAAAGTCAGAAGCGTTAACCACTGAGCTATGTACATCCCGTAAACTCTTGTTGCTAATTCATTTTCCTTATTCAACCAACTACTATCAAGTGCAGCTGATTTGCCGCTATTTAAACTTGACACCGTGGTTGTTGTTGTCAATTCTATACATCCATTTGCTTATTTGCTTTATCGTATAGTTGCAGACAGGCTCCTCCTAAACTATGTATTTGTCAATATTATTGTGGCTTATTAAAATTTTATTTTTAATATTTTTATTGAGCTTTGTACCACAATTGTTTATTAGGAAGTCTAGAAAAAAGAAGTCTGATGAGGAGATGTTGTGATCTCCGAAATAGCTGCTATAACTTCTACCGCTTAGACTTTGTTGCTTTTTAAATTTTTCCCAATAAACAATCGTGGTATAAAGCTCAATAAAAAAATTAAAAATAAAATTGATTTCATTCCATTGATATCCTTGATTTTTATTTATTTATTTATTTTTCAAAATAATTTGCTACTAGCCGTTAGTGTGACTTTATCTTGTAGCAGAAGGTTTTCTCGGAATCCTTTTCGTCAGATTACATTCAGTAAAGCCTGCAATAAAAGTTATGAAATATATGTTATGTAGTTTTAATGTAAAACTGGAATCGGTTTGGGCCGATACCAAAAAGCTTCGCTAATTGCCTTTGCGGATTTGCGCCAGTTCCTCTCAAGTGCAGACAGGTTCGTCTGCTGTTGGAGCCTCATCTTCCAAGCATAGCATACATTATGTTCAACCCAGTGCAATCGTTCTTATTATACCTTTCATAACCATGAAATGGTATTATAACTTTGGTATCATGTTTGTAAGTACCAGAATAAGAAGAATTAGGCCAGGTGAAAATTATCACAACGTCGAGTTGAGTCGATTTAGCCATGTCCGCCTGTCTGTTCTAACGTAACCTAGTCCCTCAGTTTTCGAGATATATGACTGAAATTTGGTAAGCGGTTATATTTTTACAATGTACCGATCATTTTTCGAACTATTTTCACTCATTATCAACAGAAAGCTTACCGTGTAAATGAAAAATATCGGCTTACTATAACCTACAGCCTCTATACAACTGATTGTTCAGACAGGGGGTTTCTTTAAAACTCTTTCATTTGGATGACTAAAACCGATAAATATCGTGAGCTATTTTCTAAATAATCGTACACAGTTTTTGCGATATACATACATAACTCCCTTACGTATCGATAATACAAGCGAGTTAAAATCATTTAGATCGGTGCTTTATAAGACATATCATCCACACCACTAATGGTTCAGATATCAGTTTTTTTATATAACTCCTCAATCTGTGTATGCAGTGAATATAAACATTTTGTTTAGCTCACAAGAACCTAATTTCAAATGCAGCAATCGGTTGAAGTAAAATTTGCTGATGTTTATGAAAGGTATGAA